CTATAAACATTCATGTCGTTTTCCAAAAGCAGGACTTTTTGTTTCCGTACCTGTTTTTCTCACTTAGTGGTTCTGGCACCAAGAGAAGCAGAAAAAGGGAATATGGAGTGACTCATATCTTTAATGACAGAGACAAAACAACCTTCTCTTTTCTATTGCTGTAATTTCTATGACAGTTTTAAATGTTTGTTGGCTGAAATTCACTGGCCTCCAAAAGACTTTGACGGTGTGCCTGGTTGGTGTTGACATGCAAAGCTATGCTGTAGCTATAGGAATTGTTCTGTTGGAGTCTTGACTGTAGTCTTTGAGATTTCCTGAAGTTAGGGCTATAGCTGGGGCTCCCATATGCAGTTGACATTTAAAATCTATCATTTTATATGTTTGGCTGAGAATTCTAGGGCAATATTACACATTCTTTGAACCTGTTAGTCTAACAAATGCCAATAGGAAGTGCGGGCTCAAAGAAGATGATCTGTTCTAGCACATCAGAATTAAATATATCTATGTAATAAGAATAAATTAACAAGAATTCAGTGACTGTCTGTCTTTGTCACTGTGCCCTTCGGCACTGGAACAGCCTTTTTTGAAGGATGACTAAAAAGGGTCATGTTAGCCCTTCTTTTTCTACTCCCCCAAGTGGTTGTCCTTGATGACATAAATATGGCTGACAGAGTTTAGGCAGTCCATAATTTTTGATAGCAGGTCTTGGATATTGTATTCCACAATGAACTCCATCCTGTTCTTGAATGTCTTCTGTTCATACATGCCTTTCCTGAGGTATTTAAATGCTATTCTGGACTTCAGACTTCTCATGAATTAAGTATTATTTCTTGGTCTCCTAGAGACCTATTGTTACTTCATGAAAACAGAATGCACTATCAAATTTAGGAGAATTGATTCCAAGTCAATTAGCTTACTGCTTTAAAAAGGAAGTTGGTTTATATCTGTTAATTTGCAATATGCTTGCTTAGCTTAGGTTTTTAGTCTAGGTTGTTTTTAGAATTTTACCTGCTGTTTTGGATCACTTCAGAGTTGAGGAAGCATGTCCTTTCCCACAAGTCCATCAAGGTACATCTGTTACAGCCATACTGCATTTGAAGACTTATCACTGTTGGGTTTTTTTTCCCTTCTAGTAAAGTGAGATTTGTGATACAGTTGGTTTTCCCTCTTGCCATACTTGTCCCCCAGACTACCCTAACATTCCTCTTGACGTCATTGATAAACCTGTTCTCAAACCTGTAGTCACGGCTTCACTTTTCCACTGTTTAGGGAAAATGGCATTCTGGGATGGCAGACACCTTAGCCAGGTGGGTAGGAGAGTCTCTAGTCTCGATGACTAGATGACCTTCCAAATATACCTTATCTGAAGGTGGTTTCTCAATTTATTGTAAATGAAGAATTTTTCTCCAAAACCTTAGAGCTCCAAAGTTAAGTTTGCCATCACACATAGGAAATCAAGTACGTGGTCTTTAGTGATGGGATAGGACCTCTCGGAGGGATTCTTATGCGTTTTTGTCCTCAACTCAGAGAACTAAGAGATGCGCTAACCTGACATGCTGGATAGAAGACTGAGCGCTGCTTAGGACAACAAAAAGGGAAACTTCTTGCGGTTGTGAAGGCATGTTCCAGGAGAATTTAAATGACACTATAGCTTTTTGCAAAGTATTCCTGAGATCTGCAGGAATTCATTCCATTGGAGTTGGTCATGGTTCTAGAAGCCACAGTCTCTAGGAGGCAATGAGTTAGTGATGCTAGGATCCCTTTAGACACTCAGAGGTTTTTGAGGAAATACAGCCTGAATTCATGTGTGCTTAGTTCCCTTTACCTCATCTTAGAGATACATTATCTTTGTGTGAATCTGCCACGTGTATTCTCCCTGTCAAGCTGCAATGCCTGAGGAATTCCTAGAGATGACCTAATGGTGTAAGGCATGCATTGCCCTTCTACAGCAGCAAGTACCTGTGCATGAGCATGAAGGGAATGTAAGTATGGGCACTAGTAAGGCAAAATGTTCTCTGGCCTCATGTGTATAGGCATGGGTATACTTACAGTGTGAGTGCCTTTGCAGACCACTTTGTCTTGGGGAGCAGTTACCGTGTGTTCCTGCTCACTTTCATGTGTTCCTTTTCAGTTCATTTTATTACTTATGCAGTTAAGTCTGCTTGAATTGTCTTTTGACAGACCTATACTTGCTGGTTAAATTGTAAATTTATTAAGCTATACTGAGTTGCTGGATCTTGCACTTATTTTTATTTCCAAGAAGGTAAGGAAGCTGAAGGTTCTATGGCTTTTGCCAAAGATAACAGCATGTAAGCATTTTTACACACTGTCTTTTCTTGTATATGTATACAGAGGTTTCACATATTCAGTGCTCGTTTTGTTTAGTAGTTTCATAACAGCTGTTTGTGGTGTTGTCTTGTTAAGGTGCAGAGGGATCAACATTGATGTCATACTTCTCAAAAAACCAAATACAGGCCCTGGAGCCAAAAATAACATTCAGCACATTATGGGAATTGCAGTGTCCGGTGTTAGAAAGTAACGAACTACAAGGAAAGCCGGAGGAGTCCTGCAGTACAGAGGAACTGTTTGAATGGCTAGGTGCTGTCTTGAATCAAGTTAGCTTGTAAGTATTTGAATTTGCTTCATCTTTAAATACATTTTAAGTAAGGAATGCTGCAATTTTAAGGAAGAGTTAAATAAGAATTAAGGACATATTTCTGTAAGTGGGAAGTCCGTTATACACTTAAGTGTTTGTAGCAAGTCCTTAATTTATCTGCATTTTTAGGGGTACCCATGTGTACTGGCTTTGGCTGGGATAGAGTTAATTTTCTTTGTAGTAGCTGATGTGGTGCTGTATTTTGGATTTGAGACCAAAACAGTGATGATAACACAGGGATGTTTTGGCTGTTGCTGAGCAGGGCTTACACAGCGTCAAGGCCTTTTCTGTTTCTCACACTGTCCTGCCAGCAAGTAGGCTGGGGGTGGGCAGGAATTGGGGAGGGGACACAGCCATGATAGCAGGCCCCAGCTGACCAGAGGGGTATCCCACACCATAGGTTAGCATGCTCAGCAATAAAAGCCGGGGAAGGTGGGGTGGGAAACGTTCAGAGTTACAGCATTTGTCTTCCCAAGTTGCAGCTAGATGTGATGAAGTCCTGCTTTCCTGGGGATGGCTAAACATCTGCCTGCCGTTGGGAAGTAGTAAATTAATTCCTTAACTTGCTTTGCTTTCATGTGCACCTTTTGCTTTACCTATTAAATTGCCTTTGTCTCAAGCCATGTGTTTTCTTACTTTTACCGTTCCGATTGTCTCCCCCATCGCACTAGGGGGGATCGAGTGAGCAGCTGTGTGGGGCTTAGGTGCGTACCACAGTTAACCCGCAGCACCGTGACATCTTGCGTATTAACTGTTTGGCTGTTAGTTGCTTTGGTGTTAATTTAGATGATATACATTGATATACATCGATACTACTTGTTTGGTACAAGTTTTGATTACTAAGACTTCCTATAGAAGATTTAAAGTATATTTATTTTAGTTGTGTTTTGTTTTTTTTTCCAGAGACAACAAGTCATCTAGCTTCTTGTCAACCTATTGCTGTCCTCAGCCCAACACAGTGGTAGAAAAAGCTTTTTTGTGCACAATCACAGGCTTTATAATTCCTGAGAAGATAATTCAGTTGTTGGAGCAGCTGTGGTAAGGGCTGACAGGAGTACATTACTAAAAAACATTTGTGCTCTAACACTTTTTTAATTTTCAAAATCACTTTTAAATACTTGTTTTCAGTAGTGCTGTTGGAGGTAAATAGCAAAATATACAAAATGAAGAATTTTTTTAATTAGGAAATGAGCTGAAAGTTTAACGTCTGTAGGAAAAGAGCAATAAGCAATTTTGGATACTTCAAAAATGAAAATGCCTGCCCTGTATTCTAGTAATGACTTTGCTTTTTGTCTTAATTTCTGAGAAACAGTGGCTGTCTGAGCTCCTATGTTTTTCAGATTCCCCATGTCTATGAAACTCAGGTGCCCTCAAATATGTCTGATTTAGTATTTTCAACTACTGCTGGAAAATATGGTTGAAATCCCTATATGATACCAAAAAGAGTATCACAAGGTGTGCTTCAAGGTTGTTACAGCATTACAATAGATTAACTTCTAGTGAGTTTTTTTAATCAAGTGTTGTAACATAGGACACTGGATAATGGTGAATAGGTTAGGTGTAGTTCTAATTCAATACCAAACTACATGATTACTAGTGTGTCATGGATCAATGTGTTATCTATCTGTATTGTATATCGGTGCTACTGACAGCAGATTTTGGAAGCTTCTTACTCCATGTGTGAGACAACACTTGAAAGTGCCTGGTGGCTAATGGTTGTAGCACTGACTCATGACTATGGCTGTTGTTTTATCTGGAGTATGATCATTACTCTTTGAGCAATTTTCAGATCTCATGCAGAAAGCATCTCTAGGCTAGGGTTGGAACACAAATTTCCTTGGCTTTTATTCTCCACTTAAGAGCAGTGGATAATTTCTGGCTTTGATTATTTGTAATCCATTTCCTTTCTGATGGTGAAGGTATTTGTCAAACATAACCTGAATATGTTTACTCCTCCAATGTCTTTTTTGCCCTGATAGCAACTGTTCTCAGCAAATGTTCTCTTTTCTGAAAGACGACATAATGCTGTAGGAATTCAGCACAGCTACTTCACAAATTAAACTTTTTCTCACTGGCGTAACTTGCAGGTTTGCCATGTCTAAAAGTATGGTAGGAATAATCAAAAGTCAATCTTACTTCATTTCCTAATGTATTCTGATAGAATATTTTCGTTTGAATTTATTTGTTACGTACTAAAGCAGGTTTTTTTAAGTGTTAATTACAAATTTTCACTGAAGTGCCTGTGTCTGATTTTTTTGCTTTGTCTCATATACTTGAACATGCCGTCTGTCCCATGATAATTATTCACTACCTTGTCTTCTTCCTTGCAGTTGCTATTTTGCTGAACCAAAACTGGCATATTGGCTGACCTTAACTGTGCATGGCTTTGCAGACAGCCCTGTTTCCTGGAGAGAAAGTGAACATGGTTTCCACAAGGGAGGAGAGAACTTGTACAACTTTGTCATTTTTAGAAATCTGGACTACTGGCTTCAGATGGCTGTAGGAACAAATGATGGTTGTCCTCCATAAAGCTATGTCTACAGAAGAAGTTTGTTAATAATTCTATGTTACTGTATAGAAACCTAATAAGATAGTTTTATAAAAGTAATTAGGTAACAAGTTAAGTACTAAAAGGCTGTATATGTGTTTTCAATTATTTATAGTCCTTAAAGGATGCTCTACAATGGAAGGAATGGATTTTTGTTTCCTCACTATGTCATACAGTGCCTTCTGGAAGACTTCACAATTCTAGCTTTAAGAAAAATATACGTTTTTGAGAGTTTAAATTGGAATTGTGACTGTAGGTGGTTTCTTTTTATCCAGGAGTAATTTTGGAATTTGAAAGTTAGCTTTACAGTTTTCTAGCTAAAATATTTGGGAGGAAAGCTCATTTTGGGATTTAGTGTTTTCTTTCTGTACTAAAGATCTGTAAAATCTTCAAATTCATGTTTAAGATATTTCAGCCTACATGCTGGCAAATAAAAATAAAAAGGAAGATGTGTTCTCCATAATTTGGGAGGTGGGGGGGGAAGGTGAGGAGAAGGAGGTACGTGACAGTGGGAGGAGCACCTATTAAACATGGAAAAAATAAAGGCTTGCTGACCTGCTTTTTGGATTGTGCAGATCACACTTGGTTATCAAAAAGAAGTCATTTTTTAACAGTGATGCGAAAGGCTGCTGCTTGCTTTCTTAATTGACCTCCATGTACACATATGCCCCCACCCCCACCAAATCTCTACTTTTAAAAGTTGCTTGTGGTTCTTGCTTACAGGACGACTCTCAGAGCTGAGACTTCACTGTCATGTTATTGCAGATACGTTCCTGGGAAGAATGCTGTGGACATACCCTCTGCAATGCAGTTGGAGTGAAACAAGTTTTGTTAACCACGAGCAGTAATGCTGAGAGCACAGGCAGATATAAAGAATCCAGGTTAACTCCTGTTGAAATCCATGAAAGTTTGGGTGGTGGTTTGGGGTGGGGTGGGGGGCAGGAGGATGACGACTATTTGATTTTTGGTTTATGGAGTGGGTAGGTATCATTAAAGTACCAGTGCAGTGCTAAAATGGAAGTTGTTCTCTTTGGTAGTGGAAGTTTAGGGCATAGGTGTACTGGAAACATCAGTATCTCCTATTAAGGTGAGTGGCACAGAAAAGCAGAAATACCATGGGAAGCAGTTCCTTTTTTACCTCTATTGGCTCTTTTCAGTGAGGAGAATAATCCTGGCTGATTTACTGGGTGGTATTTGTCATACACCTCCGCTAAACATAACCCCTTTTGCTCAAGTTTTGTTACGCATTTTACAATCAGCTGACAAATCAGCAAACAGTTTTCTAAATCGTTGTGTTATTTTTCAAAATCATCCTGCAATGAGATGGTTCTAGCAGGTTACCAGGAGCAGAAATGCTACCTTGTCACGTGTACATAGACTCACACGATCACAAATGGGATGGACAAAAGTCTGGGGAAGTTCTTGGCTTGACACTTGACTAGTAAATATTTAACATGGCTGGCTCAAACACCATGTTTCATTACTGGGCATCAGTGCGAATGGCTTCTGCTGTTGGCTAAAGTCTGCTTTAGAAAGTGTCTGTTGAGGGATTATGCCACGTGTCAACTTTTTCAAAAGAGACTAGTAACCAGAGATGTCTTCCTTTTTTCCTCTTGATCAGAAGAACTTTAAAAGCCTGGGCTTTCCTGGAAGTTACACCTGCAGCAAAATTTCTAATACAAAGTTAAAATCTTAAATCTTTATGAAAAGTTGAATGAAGTTTGTAGCTGCTCCAATGAATGTGCTCATCTTTCTGTCAGATTCTAGTAGAACTTTTTCCCCAGCAATGTGTATCCATGCACACAAACAAATGTAATGTTTGGGGAGGGGGGGGCCATCCACAAGTAAGACTCTTGTGTTGGTGTGTTTGTTTCCCTTGTTACCTGAGAGAAAGGAGTCTTACACATGTGCTTCATAATAATCCCAGCAGAAGGGCAGCAGCTATTGGCTTTGGCTCTGAAGCAGCAGCAGTAGGACCAGGTGAAGTGATTTTTCTGATTGGCACCACGTTGCAGAGCACCTTGGGGTTGATGATGAATTAGCTGCTGCAGAAGTGCTGGTAGGTTCAGCCCCACTGAGACAATTTTGGAAGGCATGCTGAGAAGCAGGCATTTGAGCTCTATCAGTTCTCCTCAGCATGTGAGTATTGAGGTTAATTTTTTTATGGATATCAAGGGAAATCTCTTCAGATTGGTCAACAGTTCACTTTGCCTCCTGTCTACATAGGCAATGGACTGTAAACTTTTCTCAAAGCTCAGTGGTGTACAAAGAGTCATTTGGCTGTGCTGCTTCCTACAATCCCTAGTTAGTTGTCTTCTGGTGGATGCTTCAAATGGCTTTTCCAGCTAAGGAAATACTGTCTCTGAATCCTGTAACTTGAGATGCTGAGTTGGTTTCTAGCTTTTCTCTGTTTTCTTTAAATGTGTACAAAGTACCATTGAAGATCTTGTGCTGTTACTAATCCCTGCAGTTGGTCTGCTCTTAGACTGTGAGATGATAGTGCATTAACTATGCTTTCCCAGCAAGGTCCGATGGTGTGCCTGTCTCTGAGGAGGCAGGCTTTCCTGTGCTTGCTGGGCTTTGTAGTTGCACAGAAGAGAACCTGTGGGGTGGAATTGACTTCTTTCTTACCACCTGCGAGCAACTGTGACCTGAGGGAAGATTTTCCTGGGATGAGGGACAGGAGCCCGTTCCCTACCATCTGTAAGGACAGACAAAAGTACTGTGTCTCACCAGGAGGCTCCCAAGCATGGGGGAGACTTGCTGAGAAAAGGAACAGGAAAGCATTGCTTACATGCTCAGGGAACGGGTTAGGAGGGAGGATCTGGGACTGGGCCAGGTGGGCAGTAATTCAAGGAAGAATTGGGCAGGGCACATGAGTTGGAGATAAAAGTTTTTGCCTGAGAATGAAAGATGGCTGCTGGTGGTGTTCTTGCCCTTTGTGCCTGCCTGTGAGGGAGGACAGGAAAATGCAAAAGGTTCCTGAGAGCTGCAAAAGTAATGGGGAGCAGCTGTGCACCAGCTGCTTTTGAGATCAAAGGGCTGAGTGCTTACTAAGAAGTTTTGCCTCTGGGGAATGTTTTATCTAGCATGGGGAAGGAGAGCCAAATATCTGAATGCAGAGACAAGCCTGGGGCAAGCTGTTTGCATGAGGAGTAGAGAGTTTTTTGTTGTCCTGGTATGCAGACAGTGATAAGACACTCCTTAAGAGCTAGGGAACTGCTCTGCTTTAACCTTAGCCCTTCTACCGTATCCCTGCCTCTCCAAGGAGGAAGGAAAGGGAATGTTGTTGAGAGGTTACTGGGGGGCAGCAGAACCAGCTGGGAATGGGCCGCAAAGATCAAGTGCTTTTCTAGCCACATGTTTGAGTAAGTGGTTATGTCTTCAGAAATTGGTGGCTGTGGAACAAATAGAGAACAAACTTTCATGTTAACAAAGGGGAGATAAAAGCTGAGGCAGTTGGATAGTCTGTGTTATGCAAAATCACTCCAAATAGAATATAATTGCCTTTTTGGTTTGCAAATGCTGACTGACTCAGGAACCTGCCTGGAGAAATAAATATGTGTCCCATAATGACAAGAATAGGAGCCTGACAATGGTGACGGTATTTTGTGTGAGGAAGGGAATATTATCACAGGGGCAGGCGGGGAACACGAGGACTCTGCGAAGGTTGAGAAGAACTTTCACTATCAGGTTCTAGAGATAACTGTGGTTGCAGAGGGAAAGCAGTGAGATTTGGCAGAGCTTAGATCTGGGGAATGCAGGGGAGACAGGAATGAGCGCTGATCTAAGGCTGCATGAAAGGGAGGTGACAGGGCTTAATGGAAGGAGAATCATAAGGTCTGTTTTGGCTGTGTCATGTTGTCATTTGCTGGGGAATATCCATTTTGAATAGGCTGGCCAAGATGTAAAGTTGGATGTCTGGAAAAATCCAACAAGAAAACAGGTTCATACGTCATCGGCCTGGGGATTGCATAGCAATTGTGGGAGTGAGGGAGATTGCTCAAAGATGGGCTATAATGTTTTAGTTGGAAGTAATTTGTGTGCTTTTATTTTCCCTGGCTACAGGCTGCCTCTTTTTGGTTTATCTGTAAGGGTTCAGAGAGTGTTACAGAAACACCAAAGATTTAAAAACTTTCTTGAGAAAGAGTGGATGATGTTGATATTGCTGTTAATTGCAATTAGCAGTTGGGCTGCTCACCCAATGCTGCAGAGCCAGCATGGAGTTCTGCACATGTGGAGGGTGCCCCTGCTACAACTACTGCAAATTAAATGGTAAGGCAGACAGAAGGTAAAAAGCAAAATGAGAGCTTAGAGGGATATTTCTTTTCCCCCTCTCATGGGAGGTGCATAGCAAATCAGTGGCTGATGTGGGATTAGAATGAAGGTTTTTTTGTAGCTAGTCCAGTACTCTAGCTACTAGATTATAGTTCCTCTGATGCTGTTAATTAAAGATTAATGCATGCGATTGTCTCTGTCTTTAGTTTTTCTTTATGTGGTAGCTATACTGAAACATGCTTGAACTGTATCTCTTAATCATTTTTATTCACAGAATAGAGCTTAAAGAGCAAAGCTGGAGACTAATTCAATTAGGGGGCTATTAAATAACCACCTTCTGAATATTAACAAGAATTTCAGAAATATCTGCTATAAACTAAGGTAGCTCTTCATAAATGAGCGGCCTCTGTTTCATCCTTGGAAGTAGCTTCCAGCACTGTTTAAAAACATTTGTTTTAATGCAGCCATATATGGGAGCGACAAGGAGGGGTTGAAGTGAATTGAGCAGTTTTCAGCATTCCAGAGAGCGAGGTTCAGGGTGCCTTGGCTATGCTAAGTTTCTTTTAGCTGGCTTTATTAGAACAGTTTAGTGGGCCTTAATTATTAGAATATGGATATGTTTTACGTGGGTAATTGAAGAATAACCTAAGCAGTGGTATATGCTGTTCTGTGACCCCCACTGTAAAATATAGATCATCATCCGTATTAATATTGTTGTTAATGTCCAAGCCTGATGTCTAGGTTCACTAGATACAATAATCTTTCTGCATCACATGCCGGTAGGGTTGCAGAGAATGCAGA